ATCTTCATTTCAGAAAAATAGGCATCCTCTTACAGGTAGGACATTCAAAACTGCATTTGGGAAATCTATTTCAAGGTAACGGAGGTCTGGGCAAGGCGACCAATGAAGTCGTCAACGAAAACTCTGATATCTTTATAGGAGAAATAAAACCAAACTTGGAGGCGTCTTTATCTGATAAGTTTACTGATATCGCTAATATTATTTGTAAAACGTTCACTTACGAGGAGCTGTTCCCGAATTAATAAACTTATAATTATTTAGTTAATTTTATTGTATAAAGTTAGTTGTATTTGTACTTTTTGACTAATGATTAAGTATTAGTATACTTGATACAAAATAAAACAATTTTATTAGTTTGAGATAATTATTTATAAAACAATCAATTGATTCTGTGATTTTTTGTTTTTCTCCCTAGTCGCTCCCTTTAAATATCATGTTTTTATAGGACTATCCCTCCCCTTCACAGCCAGCACAAAAATAAAAAAGGAGTATTGAAATATTTTAAAGTAGAATTGTTTAATATACCTTTTTTTAAATTGTGACTCTCTTTGTAGAAACATAGTACCTACAAAACAGTTAAAAAAAGGTTTAATTTTAACCGCATATTGTACAACTCGCCATTAGTATTTAAGATGAGTATTTACTTGGCTTTAGAGCAGAGCATGCAAGGTTTTCGTAGTACCCCACTTTTAAAGTTTATATAATACCATTAAGGGGAACCACAATCGGTACTTTCAAATTCAGGGCTAGCTGCACATTACACAATTTTTTGCATTTTGTGCGTTTGGACTCCTCGACAAATAAAAGTGGAGGAAATTCCTCATAATGACAGCTTTTGGGAAGGAAAGGTGCAAAATAAAATTCAAAATTATTATATGCAATATGCCTTACCAGAACTAGTTGACAGCAGAGCTAAAAGAGACATGGAAGTACGGGACAGAATGCCAAATAAATGGTGAGTTTAACAGTACGGGTTTTTTATGATTTTTTTCTAGAAGCTGTACCTCATTATAATAGATTATTCAAACAATAAAAATAATTTTTGTTAAAATATAAATAATAATAATATGCTGAAACATTATATCTGATCGCTACATATTATAAAACCAAAGGTACCTTTTCATTTAACTAACTCACACATGGCTACTTCAAGTTTAAATATTATAAATCCGCTTGAATATAAAAAATAACAGGTATAGAAAATATTTTTTAAAAACCTAGTATATTTAAAAATATAAAATGTCATGAGACCGTTTATTGTTTGTTTACATTGGCCTCCTGTTTTTGTTACTTTGACTTTTTGTATCGAGGACATATTATGTGATATAGAAGGGAATGTATTGCTAAACTATGGACGCTTTTCTACTCTTAATCAATTATTATTAGTAGAGTGTATGTATTAAAATATTCCCTCTAGAAAACGATTTACCTCCCTTTGTCACAAGCTGAATTTTTCAGAGATAAAAGGTCATGATAAGGTAACCCTTATTCCGGAGGTAATACAAAATTAGACTGTGCAGAAGGGCACTATCATCAAAAATCCAGATATTGATACCGCCAAATGGAAAAAAAAATATTTTTTGGTCCAATGCACAATAAAATCTTTGTAAGGAGTAATTTTTTATACATATTTAAAAAAAAATTCAGCCCTTCAAAAATTTGTTTAAAAAGTCATTTCTTTAAATATAATTTTATCATTTAACAAAAAGGAAGGCCCTTATGAAAAACGTAGCTCTGTTTCTCTCTACGTGTCGGCTGATGCATCACATTATTGATGTGCTAAGATTTTTTCATTTTTTTATTATAAAACGGCTCGTTAGGTGCCAGTGGACAAAGTGTCATATTGTCTGTTTTTACTAAAAAAATTAATAAGTGTGTTACATATTAAAGTTCCTAATAAATTGGGAAGAAATATAGACATTTTTTAGGTTTTTATTACATCTACATTCATCCTGGTATAGCTGAATGCCTGAATATATTTGGGTAAGTTTTCGTTAAACATTTTAATTACAGATTTGTTGTTGCAAGAAGCAAAGGCACAAATGATATCAAAATGTGACTTCTTAATCTTTGCATGATCAACAGTTTCTACACAATATTTTATTAGCAAATGATATGGACAGAAGCATTAGGTAATTATGCCGAAATATTTAAGTTTGATCTGACAGCCTCTCCCATGTCTCTAACAGTAAATGGGTATCTCGGCACCTCTACAAATAAGAGTTTATTGGGAAATATTTTAGAGCAATATGACCCACAAAGACTTACCTTCACCTAAGTGATCTTGCAAAACTTGTCACATTTTTGATGGGATAGCAATCGCTGAAGGTTTGGGAAAATCCAAAAGTTGCATATCATTTAAAGAATATGCTAATATATTTGTAAAGATTATTTTTAAAAATAAATTTAATGCTCAAAGGATAGATGTAGTATTTAATCATTATAGAGAAAATTCTATCAAAAATACAACACGTCAAAAGAGATGATCCCAGAAATCAATTGATATAGAAATTGACAGACCCAATATTCCACTTCCAGAATAATGAAACTTGTTCATTCATTCGATATTGAATAAAAGACATATAACACATTTTCTGTCAGAGCAACTTCTTGAAAATTTGTATCTAGTGATGGATTCGCGAGTATCAATAAATATGGGATGAATTTTGAAACAACAAAAGACGATTTCTTAAATTTAAATCATGAAGAAGCTGATACTCGTATCTTGCACATATTATCAGTCAGAAATTCGGGGAATTGACGCTGCATTATTGATTGCAACGATACAGATGTTCTAGTCTTATTAATTTATTTTAAGTAGTTTTGAACTAAAAAGATATGGTTCATAATAGGGCGAGGAGACTCGTGACGATTTATAGCAGTACATGATTTAAATTTGAATAAAAAACTTCTAAAAAATTTGCCTTCTTTTCATTCTGTGACAGGTCGTAATAAGACTAACCAATTGTCTGGCATTGGAAAAAGAACCTGTTGGAAAACCTACCTTGAACACCATCACCTTTTGGATGGATTTGGCACTGATTCGTAGGTACTCTGAAAACACATTCTCTAATCTTGAAAAATTTTTCATAAAACTGTGTTCAAAAACTGCCATTGTTACTTCCATTAACATTTTGAGGGGATTAATGGCATCTTTAAAATAATTGCTAAATTGCCATTGACTGAAGACGCCCTAAGATTACATTGTTTAAGATGTTTTTACCAGCTAAGTATTTGGCTAAGCTCTCTAAAGACCCAGATGCAGCTTCCTAATGAAGAGTATGAATGGAAAGTAGATCAAGATTGAAGCCTGATACCCACTCTTAAGATTATGCTCGACCTGCTACCAGAAATAACAGAACTTATCATGCAAATGCAAAAAAGATACTATACACCGATAATTTTCATGCATGTACAATATTATTCTATTCTAGACTATGGAAGCAAAATTTGCAAATGCAGAAAAAAATATTGGCTACATCGGTTAATGCACCTGTATGGCACAGAAAAACTGCAGAAATAGTTTGATCATAGCCGCTAATGTTTTGGAAAATGTAGATTAATGTGGTGAATCTGATTCTGATTAGTTTGAGTCTTGTACTTATATATTTTAATATTATTAATTTATGCTTTATATACTTATTATTGAATTTTTTATTAATAATTTATTGTATTCTGCAAAGCAATAGCCTTACTGTTTATAATCTATACTTATATATACTGTGCTTATACCTTCCAAAATAGTTTATATCTTATTTTTTTTTACTCAAAAAAAAAAAATCATGAAGTAATACACCCTATAAAACATTATTCGCCTTCGTAGCAGATAAATCAATAATACTTATATAAAATAATGTAAGAGAGTCAAACAGATTGCATACATTTCATCCTTGAGAGAGACGCATACAGTCAAGAGACTGCTTCCTTTCCTGTAAAACCATGACATCAGTAATTGTTTATTGCTATATTTTTGTTAATTTAATAGCAAAAAATATAAGAAAAGCACTCTTACCTTGTCAATACACAGGCGAAACTTTTATGAAGAATATTTTTTTTTCGTTTAGGCCTTCGTTTTTCGTCAAATGAAAAGTATATTTCTAAAAGAAGATTTTTTAACCAAATTTGTCGACAGCCAAAATAAGTTTTAATCTACACCATACTTATATTGTAAAATACATAATTTTATTTTGTGCTATTGTGGAATATTTTTCGGTTCCTTTGTCTCAACTTCGCGCGTTAAAGTTTAAAATATGCATCCCTCGTATCTACATGCAATTGTTAAAATTATGAATGAATGCTGATTTTGTTTGGTCTCGGAAGTAATTTTGTAGTATTTAGGCTCCACCCTTAAGCTGTAATTTTTATACCTACTAAACTACCATTGCACCGCAGGTCTTTCAGTTTGTAATGTAAATTTTCCTCTTAAATGTGAATCATGTCGTGATAACTACATGCCTCTGAATTAAATCGAAACTGCCAATTATAAAAAGATTAAGAATTGAACTCTCCGACATATGAAATTTTTTTCAAGGCCTACATTATGGTACGTTTACATCTGACATTTATTGCATGAGAATTATGTCTGACAGTTGTTCAGTCCAGTGAAAACACTCAAACATAAATATATCTCCGAGAGAAATTTTTGTGTGTTTACACTGGACTGAACAACTGTCAGACATAAATCTCATGCAATAAATGTTAGATGTTAACGTACCTTTAGAAACATTTTTTGTGAATCAATTTAATTTATGAAAGAACTAGGTAATAGAGACTTGAATTTATCTGTAAGTTATTCGTTATATCTAGATCGGCATACTACCTTTTCGGATGCCTATTATAGGTCCAAAAATCATGCAAATAGGTCTATATTATATTATATTATTGGAACGTGTTTTATATGAGAATTTGGGATCAACACATGTTGTTTTTACCATGGAAAGTAGAAGCATCTTTTTAAAAATGTAAAGGGCATGTAACGTGTTGAATAAAATAAAAAAAAACACATTTATTATCACTATAATTATTATATACAATAAATAAATTAATTCGTAAAAAAATCTAATGATAACTAAGACCATATTTTTGTAAAATTTCCGGGTTAATATTAGAACCCACAGACATCAAAAGAGGAACATCTGCAATGTTCAAATTTAACGTGCTGAGAAGTGCTTCTGTTGTACAAAAATCCGTGGTTAATAGAAACTGGGACAAAGCATTGGCTTTTAGACAAATCTCGACTAGTCTCTGTTCCATAAACGAAGCACACTGAAACGAAAAAGCATCTAGTACAAAATACAAATAAAATTATAAAAATAATTTCTCGCCAATACGAGGAGCATTGGTAAAGTTCGAAGAAAATGTAAAACAAAACGCAAATTATGTTATATAAATCGTTTTATTTGTTCTTAAAATCAGGCGAATTTGGGCAATGCATTGGATGTTGTTGCTGGTCAAAAACTCGACGTTAGGAATTGCAATCTGGATAAACGGATCCGGTAATCCAGCAGATCCAGCATCAATATACAATATATTTTGGCAAAATAACCGCGCTATTGCATGAGTAGGTACTTTAAACGCGTGGTGTTTGTGCGTGCGAGTCGTTTGATGCTAAAATGAAAAATAACTGCATTTCAAAGTGAAAGAGTTCGAGAAGAATACTTTTGTCTGCCATTCATGATTATTTGCTGACAATTAAGCCGATAAGTGAGAAAGCCTTTTCGAACTCAGGATATACATTTGTAGCTCTATTGGAAATCGATTGGCAGACGACACAATTAACACACGACACAATTAACACAATATATTTCCTAAGAACTTTTTTAAACCAAAAGTTGATTATTTGTTTAAAAACTAAAGAATTAAAATATAAAAAATATTTTTTGTGATTGTTGTATTGTGCTGTGCTATATAGATTTTTTACATGTCACTAACGGTCCATGTTGGAACGAAAAAGGTAAGTTAAGTTATCCTGATTAGATCAATACGGCCGGATCCGTTCAGATCCGTCCGTACCCGGCAGGATTGATGAAAATCCGGTCGGACCCGGCCGGATTGAAAATGAGGTCGGATTGCAATACCACTCGCCGTGCTGTGTGAGCACTTGTAGTGTCCAGTCCAAAATGGACGTAAAATGTATTGATAAACATTTTAAAATATAATTGTATTTTAAATAGGGTTTAATTTATTATTCACTAGATCACTAAGAGTTGTTTTGTTTGACAATAATACCAATGTTTACTTTCCTGTCTATTTACAGAAGGAAAGTATAGGAATCGTGATTTTTGTAGACCTCGAGTTTACGACGGATTTTTATGTTTTGGTGTCCCCTGAATCCGTTTTGTTTTTTTTTTCGGGATGATGTATGTATATGACTGCATGTCTGTGTTTGGACTCTGAGGTCCGTTACTGCTCTTTAGTGACAGTTTCTTTGTTTGGATTTTCGGCTACGTTTTTGTCTCCTTTGACCTCGATCACGATATCACCATTTCTGGGTTTCGTGATTCTGCTAACGTCGACCACTATGGCATTTATTGTCGACTTTTGTTTTGATATTCTTAATTAGGTGCTCTCGTCCGCTTTTATGATTAGTTTTGTTGGAAATTATCCCTTTTTTCATAGTAACCCATAACGTGTACCTCTATGTCCTTAAATGTATGTAGTCAGTCATTTTCCTGAAATCTATTGCTTTATGAATCAGAAGCTAGGTGTTCGTATCCACGCCTGTCTTTATATGGACTTAGCTTGCCTTAATCTATTGGTATGAGCTTATATAATTTGTATAAATCCTCTGGCCATTCCTGGTTTATGATTTCATTGATAATATCTGGTCCGATTTCTTCATTTAGTGCTATCCTGATGTTTTATTTCCTAACCGTCATGTCTTCTGTTCATATATCTGGAAACATTTGGACACCAAATTTCTTAGTTTCCTTTTCGTCTTTGTTTGGCTGGGCTCTTGGACTTTTCACATCCCTACAGTTTTTCTTCTTTTACCCTCAGTCATCTCTTCCTAGACCACCTCGTTTTCTCTCGCCTTTCCGATATAGAATATTCATTGTGAGCGATTTCATACTTGCTTCGGTTTTAATCGAGACTTTTGTGTAAATGAACATCTGGATTTTTTATGTCTCTTGGTGCCGAAGATGACCTGCTCTTTTCCAAACAAATTTTGTGGCCTTGTTTATTGTAGATTAGATTATATTATATTTCAGAGAAGTGAGATATTATTTGTCCTTCGTACCGCGACCTTTTCACATTTATTGTGGGACTCCCTTATTTAGAGTATGTCATCTAGCTTTTTCTTATTAGTAGTTTTGAAAGTAGCTCCCGCATGTAGTTCAATGCTTCTGGCTTTTCTTTGCCTAATGATAGAAACCTTACTCTAGTGAGGCCTTTACACTGACACAGGACGTGGATTAATGTTTCCTTTTCTTCTTCGCAAAACCTACAAAACGTTGCTTCTTCTGCTAGATTGATGACTTTCATGTGCCTTCTTAGGCGACAGTGTCCTGTAAGAAAACCTACTGTTAACCTAACGATTTGACGTTGATGATCCAGTTGATATTTCGTGAACTAGGCCGATGGTTCTTTGATGAAAGTTTTGGCCTGTCTCAATCTTGGATAGTTGTTTCACTATTTCTGAGACTTTTTTGTGTCCATTGTTTGACAAATGCCTTGCACAATGCCTTAGCATCTCCTCAGAATGGGTTAGGGCCTGTTATGTAGCAGGGGCTGGTATTTATTTATTCATCTTCATATTCTTCGTACGATAGTTCTATGGACATTGTAATAAGGCCAGAGGCCCTCGAGGTGTCTAATATTGATGGACTTCTTAAACAGAGTTCCTTTTCCTATATCACTATTCATGTCCTGTTTGTTATCTTCCTTAGCCTTTTGGCTGGACAGATAGCACTTGATCGGGCTCCCCTTGGTTGTATTCAACTCTCAGCGATGTACGGTCGTTTTCATTTTCCCAATTGTGCTGGTTTTCTATACTATCCTTCATTGTCCCAGATATTTCTTATATATGGTATCGTGTGTTTGTCAGCCTCTAAATTACATTTTTTCATTAAGTCCCACGAGTAGGGCATAAATGAGGATCTAGCGAGGCAGTGATCCTATACCCCACTAACGTTTCTTACTCTGAGGGTTTGCCAGGTTCCCTGAAGGCTTCTTTCGATACCAACTGCGCATAGCCATTCACACTTCGGCGTGGCTCGTTTGACATCTTGGGTTTCATATTTTTGGGCCTCAGGTTGTCTCTTGAGAGATCCTTTCTGTCAGGATGTCCCTCCCTTAGCAGCCGGGTCCCCGATTTTTGGCGCTGGGAACTCGCCATTCGCCCTCTCGTTTCAGAATCGGACGTGCCAGTTTGCTACGTTAGAGGAACTGGTATTTGTTGGCGTCACCTAGTGGGAATCAGCGACCCTGCCAGTAGACAACAACTGACCATTTTGAGCTCTTCTTCTCCTGTTGGGCTTTGACCTATTCTTCCACGGCAAGGTCTTAAAACTTCTAGGAGTAGGCCAATGCTTATTTTAGTCTATATAAATGAGAGCATCAACAATTTTCGAGCCAAAACTGAAGCGCCGCATTTTTATATAAATAGCCCAACTTTATCGTTATAAGGGGAGTCCAAGTCAAGATATCACTGTGAGCCGATTAATATTGTTGATATAAATTAGTGCACAATTGTTTGAGATATAAATTAGTGACTTAGTGAATATGAATTTAACAAATAAAATATTTAAATATATAAACGTTACAATACGTTTGATTTCTTAAATTGCAATATTTATTTCACAACTTATTTCACTTGACTACTACTGTACGTTTCTAGAAGAATGTAGAGGCCAACTGTTTGTGTTAAAATAAACAGTTTAAAGATCTAAAAAAACTTAAGCTTTTATTTCAATCCATCGGGCCACTTAAAATTTATTGTAAATAAGATTGTACATTTATTAGGGAATAAAATCTGGGTCCATAAATGCCGTAGATATTATCTAGTACCTACCAATATCCTATAGCTTTACATACTTTAAATTTTACACATTAAAAGAAGAATTCAATGAAGTGTATGAGGAAGAGAATTTTGTTGTGTAACATGTACTAGGTTGGATATAAATGCGTTATAAGAACACTGGTCAGAATAGGTAAAACAAATTTACTTACATGTTCTTTTGCCATATTTAATTTCCACATTTCTAAAACAATTTCCAGTACATTGGAAACTAAAGGACATGAATCAACCGTTCCTTCTGATTTATTTCTATTGCTTGATAATACTTGTACCTCCCTAAAAATGTTTTAAAATTATTAGGTTCGTAGCAGATACTATAATTCGAAACCTACAGGTTTATTGTAATATTGATCTAGATTTGGATATTTATTTTTGATGGGTGCTTTTGAAATTTCTTTAGGCTCCACATATTTTAAAAATAAAAAAAGTAACATTTTATAATATTTAATTAAAAAATATTATAAAAGGTCCCTCAAGGTTTTTTCTGCAATATTTAGATTTATTTTTAACAATATGAACTGGTGAAACATCAATAGGTTACATGCCCAGGTTTACAGCACTGTTAAAATCTGTACCTGACGTTACAATAAGTAATATTTGTTCTGGCACAAGTGGTTGCATTTAAAAAGAACAAATATGAAAGTAACTAAGGTTCAGATAGGTTTGCTAAAAGGAAAAAACAAATTGGAGTACATAGAAATGTATATTTTGCTACGTGGAATACTAGATCAGCGTAAAACATGTGATGTACAGTTGACATATTATTATACCAAAGCAGAAACTAGCATACTCCTAGAACAAATATGACAATATAATATTATGGTAGGTACGAGAAGTGTGGTTAGAGCTGCATAGGTTGGTTGATGATAAAACAGAAGACAAAACCTACGATTTATATACAGAATTCTTCAATTATAAAAGACAACCGAGTGATGGTATAGCTACTCATTCATTTAACTCAAAGAAAATCTGGAAAGAACTGCAACAAGAGATCAATAAAGACAAATTAATACTTCAAAATCAGTGTGCATGTAATTTACTCGAAATATTACTGAGTTGCAAAATACTTCTCCTTCAATTTTAGCTGGCTACTAAAGATGAAATCTGAGAGATCTTTAGACAATCCTACAAATCAGTTATGCGCCTACAAGAAAGTATTTTGTAAAAAAAGTGATGGCAAAACCGAAGAAGTTCTAAGTTTAGAAAGAAGTCATGTCAAGCCTAAGAAGAATCTGATCTGTAACTACTGCAAGCAAGATGGTCATGGTAATGTGACAAATGAAAATCCGACAGAAGTCCTCCAAACAATAGTAATAGAAGGGATCAAGAGATAAGGACATAAATTTAACATTAGTAGAGCTTAGTCTGATGTTTTAAGTAAAGAAAATGATCCAGACTACTGGTTTGTTGATAATGGTGCTTCAAATCACATAACCAGTAGATATGATATCTTACAAACATTTGAACACTTTGATTCTAGTTATTTAGTTACCACAGCCAATGTTGACGCAATACAGGTAATTGGCAGAGGATCAGGAATAGTAAAAGCCACTGTATATGGCAAATCAAAACTTGTTATGTTTCTGGCATAAAGAAACACCTTTTTTTTCTATTAGCTTCAGAAGATAAATATTTCAAAATCGAGTTTTGTTCAAGAGTAGAAGTTTGTAGGTTAATAATCGATGTGATTAGTAGGAGTTCTAAATCGATTTGGAGGACAGTTTAAATTAGCTCTTCAAAACGTAGCTCCTGTAAGTTAAGAAATAAACGAGCTGTCGGTTGGTTACCTGTTGCAGATATATCACTTAAGATTAGGACACCATATAAAATCTCTTGTTCATCGTGAATTAGGTATAAAAGTACTTCTATATACTAGGTTTATGTGAGGGATGCATTTATGGAAAAGCAAATAGACTACAGTTATGTAGTCAAGAACTTATTCACTCAGACTTTCATTGAATCGCAGTCAGGAAAACGATATTCTGTGCTCTTCCAAGACCACTTAGTAAATTTAGATACATCGACGATTGAAAAAATACCAGTGTTACTTCCGAATATTTCTATGGTAAAAATGTTCTGTAGCATATGTCGCTGGTGTTAGAAGAATTTGGTTCTTTTGTAGAAATAACTAACGAGTCATAGGTAGTAGAAAAATAAGTGTTTTTAATTAACTATTTTCACTGAAGTAAATATATAGTGGTTGATGCCATTTAGATATAATAATTTTCTTATCTTCACTTAACAGTTTTAAATATTTACAATTTTAGTTCATCACAATTTGATTAACTAATACAGTTGATTTTTTAGTTACCAACTTAAAAACATTTGTTTGTAGAATTTCTTATGCCATAATAATTGTAGAAGATATAACTTTTACCAGAAAATAAACTGCATTAAACGCTTGTAAAAATGTAGAAAGTAACGTGCCGTCGGCAGAAAGCACCTGAACGTTCTGATGGCAAAGACAACTGTGGCTCCCGTTCGCGTCGAGCTCACCCTTATATATACCGTTGGGCCGAAATGAGTGTCCGGGTCATAGTTGACGCACCTATTCGGTTTCAACCAATGAAAACATCATGACATAATGAAATACGTAATTTGTGGTTCGTTAACTATGCGCCGGACACTCATTTTGTTCCACTGCACAGCTGTGCACCTGAAACACAGGTGTTCGACGTTCGGTATTCTGAGAAAAAAGCAGTCGAACTATTTGAGAATTGTTTATTTATTTAGTAGATGTAAAATATTAATTTGTTGATGTTTTTACTGGTGAAATTGTAGAATTTAACCAACGATAGTTTATAAAAGTAAAATCAAAAGTTGTTGATAAACTAAAAATAATGTTAGCTGAAACCAAAGTTCAAGAACACATAGTCAAAGAAAAGCCCTGCGATAATGAAGGTGAATTTATCAGCAAAGCAGTCCGAGGATACAATAGAATTAAAAGCGAAAACCGCCCTGGGGGTCAATTCTCGACTTGTAGGAACCTTTTCCTATAGGAATTTGTGACACTTTCCTACATGTAGACAAATGTCATAAATTTCCGATGTGTAGAAAAATGTCAAAAATCCCTATAGGAAAAAATTAGGCATTCCAACGACCTGTCCAAATGGCTACCAGTGGGTAATGACAGTTTAGATATGGCAACCCTGTTGTCATGTTGTCATTAACAGGGTCAATGATACATATATAATTATATAGATTGCTCAAAGCTGGTCGTTTACGAGCGGCCATAGCGTCTGGCAAATATTTATTAATTTGAATCGGTTTAGCAAAAATGTGTTTTAAAACCAATTTTTAGCCTTTAGATATTTAAAAAAATAATTGCTTACATTTTTTACTTCTAGGCATAAGCTTATGTTTATTTTGAAAAATATGGATGATCAATCTATGTAACTATCTATTTCATTGACCTTGTCAAATCACCAGGCCTACAGGGTTGCCATAATTTTGCCATATCATAACCCGTCAGAACCCACTGGTAGCCATTCAGTTTGGAATGCCTAATTCCTACGAGTCGGGAATCGACCCCCTGTTGTAGAAAGAGATAATATAGTACGAAATAATAAATACTGTCGCTTGGAAGTTTGGATAAAAAAAACGAACCTGAAGCACTCAAGAGATAAAGAGTGTACCTGCTACGAACAAAGTAACGTTGTAAGAAAATGCACCAGAAGGTTGTAAAAGGATGTAGGCTGAAGGCTGAAGACGATGATGGATAATACGTGTAGTGTAAAAAAACTAAGCAACTCATAAGATCTAAATATGTTAGCCCCTAGTCGGATGGAATGAAATCTCAGAGATCCGAAGAGAAAGACAAAGTGAAGGTGTCGAAGATGAACAAATAAACTCAAGAATAAAATATAGATGTAGAATGTTCAGAACAAAGACCTTTGATTGAAACAAGACAGTTCAGAAAGCGTGAAGAGATAAAACCACCAACCAGGTTTGAACATTTTGTAATGGAGATATATGCAACATTTGCAGAACGTTCGGTTACAGCAAATTCAATGTATTTGTAAAATACAATTACAGAATTACAGTTAAATTTTACTTTTATCAAATTTTTCGCAATATTGGAAAATGAAATTGTGATTCAAGGTGAGAAGATCCTTAATCTTATACTATATTAAAGTAACCGTGGTAAAATATCCTAGATTATAGATTATTTGTCCAGATTTTAAAATTTTGTTGGCATAGTTTTGATTTATTCTAATAAAACATTTACAAGAAAAAGTTAACGTGATTCTAATTATTGAAGAATGTGGGTTAGTATCTACAGAAACTTGAACTGGTAAAAGAAAAGTTTTCCAACAGAATGATATTTTGTTAGCAAATGAAAGGCGTACATTCTGGACAATTATTTTTAGATTATTTTGCAAAATCAAATGACTTGTAAAAATAAAGGAGATAGGTATTGCATGCACAATATTGCTATCAAAAATCATTTTTGAATTGGCGCCACATCTTTGACGAGTACATTACTACTTAGTTACCAATAATTTTCTTATTATTGAATATTATAAATTATTATTACCATTTATCTACGTTTGCTAAAATAGCGATGTTTTCTTCTAACTGATTGGGAAATAAGCAAGAGTACTTCAGTGATAAATCATTTTTTAAAGAATTTTTCCATTTCTTCTCGGGAGCGTTTGTACTTTGGAAAATTTTATGCGGAATATACATGTCTGGAATACCAGTTCTAGACAAAAAATCAAGTGGAATTATTTCTGAAATATCACCAATATACTTTGACCTAAAATGAAAATAAACATACATTTTTCAGAATAAATAAATTAATTCTATTGAAAATTTCATGCGAAACATAGATGTCTGGAATACCATTTCTAATGTACCAGGTCTTCAACAATACCCGAAACCCACGTGATCTGGTAGCATCAAAAACACAGCGAAATGGCCTGATTTGGTTCCTTATATGTCAACTGTCGTTGTCAATACTGTCAAAAATATCATTAGCGATCATTTGGGTTTTTGGGTATATTTATAATATTTATATTATTTAAAGGTTATTGATTTTGCATTTTGTCAACACGCTTTTATTAAATTTTTCCTCAAATAATAATAAACCAATCAGTTCTTTTTAGAGCTCATTAGTACTTTCATTCTTTTTTGCCGGTAAGTGTAAATTTATTTACTTTTATACAAGTTTATTGACAATATAATTTTCAGCTCAAAATGTTTACACCGGAACAAGATTCTTTTATTTTAATGGCACATTATAGAAGTGGATCTCGAAATGATGATGGAACTTGGTCATATTCAATTTAGAGTTGCATTCAACAATTTGAGGAACGTTTTCCAGCTGTACAAATAGAATATGATAGTTTTCGTCATCATAGACATGTTCTTGTTCAACGTTTTGAAACGAAAAATTGCATTTGTAAAGGAAAGGGGTCTGGAAGGCCCACAGTAATAACCGAAGAAGTTGTTCAAGATGTGCGAATTCGCATGGAGCAAAGTCCCACTAAATCAGTAAAAAAGTTAGCAGCTCAAGCAGGTAAGAACAGTGTTTGGGAGCTTGACTCTCTTATAATCGTTTTAGATTTATCTGTAGGAACTAGCCATAAGATTTTGAAAAAAAATCTATCAATGCATCCTTATAAGGTTTCAGTACTGCAACAATTGTTTCCTGGTGATTTTGTTAAACGTATGGAATACTGTCGATGGTTCAATGAGCAATTAAATGACAATAACTTATTGGATCGAACTTTTTTTACTGATGAAGCATGGTTTCACTTATCAGGATATGTCAATAGTCAAAATTATCGAACATGGGCAACTGAAAATCCTCATTCATTTGTGGAGACAAGTCTACATCCCATAAAAGTTGGTATTTGGATAGCAATTTCAAGAAGAAGAATAATAGGGCCCATATTTTTCTATGACACAATTAATGGCCAACATTATCGAAATATTTTTCTTGAATTTGTTGAACAGCTACAGGATGACGAGTTACAATTGGGTTACTTTCAACAAGATGGAGCAACAGCTCATACAGCTAGAGCTACTATTGACCTAATAGAAGAATATTTTGATGACCGAATTATTAGTAAAGGATTATGGCCTCCAAGATCTCCAGACCTCACACCTCCTGACTACTTTTTATTTGGTCATATAAAAAATAAAGTATTCAGAAATCGTTTGCATGATGTGAATGAATTGGAGCAAGCTATAGTTAATGAAATTGAAAGTGTAACTGAGGAGCAACTGCATAATGTGTTCGAAAACATGAAAAGAAGGGTTAATGCTTGCATAGAAGCTGGTGGTGAACATTTTGAACACTTACTGTAAATGTATATTCTTTGTACAACATCAAATTATCCTTTAAAATAAATTATTGAAGTTGATGTGATCAATTCTGTTCAGAACTGGATTTTTTTTTTGTTTATATCAATATGACTTTTTGTTACATTTTTTATATATATATTTTAAATGAACAAAAACAAATTTAACATGAAAAATTAGCATATTCTAAATTAATTTTCAATTTTATAGATACCTACTAATTTAAAATAAATAAAAACAAATTAAAAATTGTATTTGTTTATTGTGTCCCATTGCCCATGTACAATTCCATCTCTTGAAGTAAATTTTAAATTGATTTCTACTTTCTAAACGTGCAACAAGCTAAATGTATGATCTGAAGGTACTTTCTATATCTATCAAGTTGATCTATTTGTAAGTTTAATAATTCTACTACATAAACGAAAACATTCAAAGCGATTATCACATGTTTAATCAAAATAAGATTACTATGACTTATTCTAACCAATACTGTAGTAATTTAAACAGTCAGCCGTAGTTAAGATAATATACCAGTTGCCATCAAGCTAAAATAAATAATTTGTAATTGTGTTCTTTATGCATAACATTTTTTAACCCTCCGTTCCCACACTTAATTTTTATCAAGAATTTGTCCCTCAAAATTTCAATTATTGAATAATAATAATTCTAAATTCAGCTCTTTTAATAAAATAGGGAGCTGTCCCATTCCGCTACACGCACTGGGATATATGATGCCCCATGCTTATTTATACACAACAATTGAACTTAAAACTCATAACAATTTTTTTATGGTAACTTAGGTCACAATAAACATATGTACCAAAAAACTGATGGCTAAAATGCTATTTTATTGACTTAAAAAGGTAAAAGACAATTTGTATCACAAACGAATATATTAAATTTAATCTAAATAAACGTAATCATTTAGTTAAATCTATATACAAAATTGATAAACAAATCCAAGATTTTCGGGTAAACTTCACTTGTATCCACTTTTTCTTTTTACGACTGGCAACCTCTTAGTCTTTGGAGGTCTTTCTTCAGTTTTCTCTTCGCTACTTTGCTCAATTTCGGCTTCAGTTTGAATTTCAACATAATTAAAATTCTTATCAGAATTTTCACCGCAAAATAATTCATGTTTATTATATCCTTTAAAGATTCAGGAACAAAGTGTTCTAATTGTATCTCGCTCAAAGGGCGAGAGGTGGAAGCATTTCTATGTAAAAATAAAATACCATGCCAATACAATACCATATGTAATTTAAAAATACCATTACTTCAAGATCCTATCGCAAAAAAAAACAAATATTAAACTGTTACAGCACACGCTGGGACATAGTCTTTTGATGGGTATAGACTGAACTTCACTTGCAGAAGTACCTCGACCATATTGAATGTGGTGGAAACTAACTGAATTTATACCAGCGGTATTGGCATTACTTCCAAACTTGAAGATAAAGAAGTGTACGGACGGAGCATCGAGATAAAGTAGGGAGGGTTAAATAAACAAAAACAAAAAAAAAAACAGTCAAGAATCTCAAGATACGGTGATCTTAGGTTAGGTATCGAATTATTCTTCTTTTAATAAGAGAGGTATTGAATTCAAAATAGTGATTACATAAAAAAATTTAAAGATAAGATTTTATATTGGCCTAAATGGAATTCTAACATAAAAATATAATAATGTAAAGCACCATTAATTTAATAATATGATTTTTTTTTGTTATATCTCACTGTATTTTGTTCTTAAGGTTACAGACCATAAAAAAAAAGAAGAATAATTTTATTTTTATTTTATTTAAAACACCTACAGCACTGGCCAACATCTAGGGATTTTTACTATTATTTTCACCAATCGCTGTCATGACGTTTTGATCACGTGGGTTTCGGGTATTGTTGAAGACCTGGTATATTTAACTTAAACGTAAGTTCCGCGTAAATACAATGGCCCCTTGACCACAGCACGAAACGCACCAATGATTTGGTTTTGAATGTTTCCCTATCCTCTAGCTTAGGTCCGGCGTATTTCAAAACAGATCTCACCCAATGAACTGAAGTGATTGTCAATAAGCTTGAGACGCGACTCTATGGGCGCAGACAGGTTATTTTTCATCTCATTCGGAAGTACTTATAATAACCATTTTCTATTTCACATTGTTGTTGTCTGATCCACCAACTTATGGACTGAACAATAACAATGTGAAACAGAAAATGGTTATTATAAATACTCCCATTGAGATGAGCAATAAAAATGGCTATGCCCATGAGTCTCATCTTGTTCTATTGATACAATACGCATATTGGCTTTCTAACCCACTTCAGTTCATTGATCTCAGCTGAATCGGACTTGAGTGAGTCATCCTTGAACAAAAATCGGAGTTCGGTAACAACTTCTCTGAAGTTCCAGCTCGTTCCAGTGTTACACTGGAATTTAGAGATGGATAGTAGCAAATCTCTAACTGTTAAGTACATTAACGAATTTGTTACTACCCCTCTCTAAATTCACGCGATGTAACCGAACTTCGATTTTCGTTCAAGGAGGACTTAGCTGAGTTGAACTTGGCTAAGATCTGTTTATAAATACGGACCTTAATGTGCTGTGGTCAAGCCGGTCAAGGGGCTATTGTGTTTACGGGAACTTGCGTTTAAGTTGAATAGAGAGTAGACCAAAAATTGTGTTGAAACGTTTCCGAAATATCACCAACATATTTTGACTTTGAAAGCAAATAAACAAATAAAGGAAGGGAAAATACATAAAGTCTTAACGACAACAAATTTTTTTATTAAAAGGGCAAAGGCCTGTAACATAAAATCTACAGGATAGCAAGTAGCTTTCCAACTTGGAAATGAAATAAAATATACCATGTTAAGTTAAATGGAGAATTAACAAGTAATAATAGTGTTATAATAATGGCAAATATCAATGTCAATGAAAAGTGGTGAACAAGTTATTTAAAAATAATTATTATTGGTGACATAAGTAAGATTAAGTAAAATATCTATTATATAAGTAAATCTTATAAATTTGGATTTAATAGTTACTTATGCTTCTAATATTAATTAATTTTAAATAACTTATTCACCACTTTTCATTGACATTGATATTTGCTATTATTATAAGACTATCTATTATTACTTGTTAATTTTCCGTTTTAACTTAACATTACATATTTTAATAACTTTCCAAGTTGCAACGTTACTGTTATGTATATTTTTTCTTACATGCCTGATGATGGCCATTGACCGAAACTCGTCGCCTTTTACTCTTTTGAATAAAACATTTGTTGTGGCCAAGACTGTGAATTTTCCCTTCATTTACGAATATACCACATTTGAGACTTGGATAACTTTCTTATTCTCAAATAAACAAATATTTATATATAATTTCTTAACAAAATGAACTTAATTGTATGGAACAAAAGCAGTTATTACAAAAAATCTAAGAAACCT